GGCAGGTGGGAGCTCTCTGCCCAGCTGTGGCCCTTTGCTCAGGCCCAGCGGGTCCTGGGATGCGCTCCTTGGGTGCGGTGCTGTGCTGGGTTGGTTGGGGGACAGGGCCCCCCGGCACCCCTGGTCTTTGTGCCCAGGTCTAAGTTTGCATGCACTGGCACAAAGTGAGCAAGTCACAGGGACCCCGAGCATTGCCATTGACGCTCCTGGGCAGAGCTCAGCCCAGCCCCGGCCAACCCCAGGCTCCATGCTCAGCACCCCCAACCCAGGTGACAAGGGAGAAGAGAACAGGGCCTGTGACAAGCAACTGCACGCCCCTCCCCGAGCCCCCAGCTCCAGCCAGTTGGCCCAGTCAGGGCCCAGGCAGCCACCCTGAGAGGAGGAACCAGAGGCAGGAGGGGGAGGTGTGGAGAGGAGGGGTGCATGCCGAGGACAGGGGGTGCAGGCGGGAGGGGCCGGGAAGAGAGAGAGAGCGCTGGGGAAAATACGAAGACGTCCGTGTACCTCAGGACCTCCGACAAAGAGGAGTCGCTGTCATCAGACCTGGGGAGGGCAGAAAATTAGCTGGATTAGGGGGAGGGTGAGAACACACAGGGGCGCAGCAGCAGCAGCGGGAGGTCAGAGGGCAGTTGGTTATTTTCTTCGAGGGGGCGGAGGGAGGGAGGCAGAGGGATGAGGCGCTGAGGGGCAGCAGGTAGGAGGTGGGGACGGGCTGGCTTGGGAGCTGGGGGTGCCCCTCGGCTAACAGGGTAGGATGAGGGGGCCGAGGGAGACGGGGGCACCAGCCCCACACTTGGGGGAGACCGTTGCTGGGCTGTGTGCTGCTCCTGAGCCCTCCGGCTGCACAGGCTGGGGGCACCCGCCCCACCTGGCAACGCTGGGACCTGCCCATCCCGTCCCCGGGAGCTGGCTGCTCCAGCAACTCCAGCGGCCGACTTATTTACAGAGCCCCGGAGAGCCCACGGGGACATGCCCAGGAGGGGGCTGTGCACCTCGAATGAGCCCCAGGACCCAGACCCCTGGACAAGACCGAGGTCTGGATGACCCCCTGGATGGGACCCAGGACTGGACGACCGCTAGGCTGGGATGGTGAGAGACCCACCCCACTGCTTCCGAAAAAGGGCCCCATAGACTGTGAAGGCGCT